GGGAGGGAGAAGGGAACTGGGATTGTCATGTAAATCAATCTTGTTTCTAATTCAAATTAAAAAAATGATTAAAAAAATAAAAAAAGGCAGGATGACAGTGGTGGCACACACCTTTAATCCCACTTTGAGGCCAGCTGGTCTATAGAGTAAGTTCTAGGGCAGTCAGGGCTACAGAGAAACCATATATTGAACCGACCTCCCCCTCCACAAAAAAAAGAAACAATCTACAGTGTTTTAGGATTCATACATCTAGCATGGAACTGGGAGAAAGTGTGACTAAGAAAACCCACCAGGATCAGAAAGATCACCATATGAAGAAGTAGGCCAGCTCACTCAGCACTGTACTTATGGGCATGTCTGTTTTACAGGTGGCTTCCTGGGAAGAGGCTAAACCTAAAACATCCAAATCAGGGAGCCCACAAATACCTCTAAGCCTCTAGGTCACAAGGTGGCTGGCTACCTAGATGAGCCTTTTCAGAGAGAGGACTGAAAAAAAAAAAACCGAAAACATTAGGGTTGACTGGCCTCTATCATTCTGAGTCAATGACCAATCACATGAAGTATCTGATCATAATAAGCAAGGGCCTTTCTCTTAAAGCTCCAATTTCTAGCAGATACCCAGGGCCTTTTCAACATGTGCACTATGATCTGCTGATGTAAGCTGTTCCAAGACAGTGCCTCTTAATGCATTACATGGGGGTGGGGGGTGGGGAGGTTGGGGGGAGAAGACACAATCATAAGGAAAACAGACTGAAGTCACAATATAAAGCACCTTGCTGTCAAGTGCTTCAAACCCTGTACCATTTAAACTATTTTTAATTCAATGTTAACCACAGCAGCTACAAGTTAAAGCCTTTACATTCTCAGGTCACTCCTGGAAGAGAAAGTGAAGTACAGGGTCTTGAACAGCCTTACCAGCAGTAGTCCAGTAGGTGTGGGGGCAGCACAGGGATGTACACATGCTGCCAGTACATGGGGTAGAGCATGGCAGCTGAGCCGTGGATACAGGCAGTCAACTGTAAAAAAGAGGAGCAGAAAGTCAGATTTCAAGCAAAGTTGAGGGAGGCACTGCCAAAGTTAAGGACTCAGAGTCACAGTAGAAACAACTCCAAGTCAGATGTGCCCATCCCAGTGCAATACATTAGACTTTCTCACCAAAATATACATTTTTTGCCCTGATTATAAAGCTAATATGAGGCTTCGGGTACAGCTCAGTGGTAGTGCTTGCCTTGTATGTCTGAGATCCAGATCCAATCCCCAGGACTATAACAACAATTAAAAAAAAAAAAGAAGAATGAATAAAAGACTTTAAAGCTCATGCACACTTAGAGTGGAAATTTAAGAAAATGAAGAAAGTGATGAAAAAAAAAAACCTGGCACTTTCTGAAGATTAACATTTTTAGGGTACTGTACATGTAAGTAAGCACTTGCAGTTTCTTTTCTAATGAAACTAAAACGATTGTAAATACGTTTTTCTTTTGTATATTGACATTGTCTGATACCATTTTCCTACATCCTTAAATAATCTAAGGAAGTACACCCATTCACCATCTTCAGTGTATGCCTCATACCCATTTTGCTATTGTCTATCATGGAGTTACACACTTCTATTTGGATATACGATTTCTGGGTGTAGATTCCAGAGCTAACTTCAGCTTATGGATATATCACAGTACTCAGCAGGCAGAGGAATGTAAGCAAGGCTGTGTGTGCTGGTGTAACTGACAGGGCAGAGGCTTGCACTGCCTCACCATAACTAAGCACAGTAGGTCAAGTTTAAACTTACTTCCATCTCACTTTTATTTTTACCCCACTGATTAGTATGGAGGGTGAATACTTTTTGTCATGTTTCCTCAACTTTATTTCTTAGGTCTGTTACTTTCTTTGCTCACCTTTAAAAGGAATGCTAGTATCTTTAAATTGATAATAAGCAAGCACTGAGGTCTTGTAAAGAACATCATTTGGGGGCTGGAGAGATGGCTCAGAGGTTAAGAGCACCGGCTGCTCTTCCAAAGGTCCTGAGGTCAATTCCCAGCATCCACATGGTGGCTCACAACCATACGTTATGAGATCTGGTGCCCTCTTCTGGTGTGCAGATATACATGGAAGCAGAATATTGTATACATAATAAATAAACAAAATCTTTTAAAAAAGAACATCATTTGATGTGATGTTTTTGACAATTTTGTCTTCATTTACCTCAAGTCTCTGAGAGAAGAGGTTTGAATGACTGTGTGGTTGGATAAGCCTTTTCCTTAGTAATAAGCCCCACTCATTGTCCAAGGAAAGACCTCCAAAATTTCTGCAAGTATTTAACTCCTGAATCCATCTGCAATTAATCTGGGCTTTGGACTTGAGGTGAGAATCTACTTCTTCCATGTAGTTGATTTATTGCTCTGGCATCCTTTGTGGGCTTACCCTTCCCCATTTCTTTCAATAAGCTCCTGTTTTACATTCCTTCTCTTTATTATTTCCTTACAAGCTGGAGATGGCATATAAGCAATAACTGGTACAATTAAAAATGGATAGCTAAAGGTAATGAAAAGCAATACTATCTCTATAAAATTCAATAAAGAGACAGGATGCAACCCTGCAGACCCAGCTACTAAGTGACAACAGCCAACAACATGTATTTTTGTCATTTTCCCTTATGTTTCTTTGGTTTCTAGGAAGCCTGTCAGAATGAGGCTTTTGGTTTTTTGGAAGTTGGTACCTGTCCTCTGCTGACAGAAGGACATTTATGTGGTGAAAGAGTGATGTGCCAATACCCAGTTGTTAAAAGAATTCCAGAGGTTAGTATAACATGACCAGCTTTAAACTGGATATGGTACTAACGCTTCACAGTTGTGAAAGCTGTGTATTGAAGCTAGGATGTTATATGCCTCTCACCCACTATTTTCTCTAGGTCTCATTTTTTAAATCTGGTACCTGTGGGGAGTATACCAAGGGAATGTGGAAAGCTGTTCCCAGGCACTGAGGTCCCCAATCACCTCTCCTAGTCTATTCTGTAGGTTCTCTAATAGAGGCAGCTGCTGTATAGATACAGATTGCCATGATCAGTTTCTCTAGGGGTTTGGAAGGACGAACATAGTTGGTGGTGTGGTGGAGAACAATCACCTTTAATGGTACCTTCAAGTCAGGCTGGAGGGTTACAACAGCCTTGAGCACCAGCTTTTGTGCTCATCTTTAACCAGCTGCCAGAGCATTCTTGCTGATGTGCACATCACTTCTTGCTTGCAAGCCTTTAGGGAATAGCTGGATGTGCCAGTCCTGGTCTATCTGAGAAGCAGCATCTCTAGCGAACCTCAACTGCCTTCCCCAGCTTACCCTTGAGACACACCATTCACAGAAGTAAAGAAGTTATGGACCTCTTTCCATCCCTCATGCCATTTCACTCATCTCTCTAACCTGCAAGGGGTTTATTCTGCAAGCAAACTCTTCCCTCAGGTCTCTGAAGGAGCTCTCCTCTGCTCTCTGAAGCCTCACCTTGACTCTCTGTTACTAACTGAACTGAACAGACTGAAGTCTTCTCATTGGCCATTAAGTACACAAAGGCCCTATCTTTCTTCATCTCCACACTTCTAAACTGCATGCATCTAAGTGCTTGTCAATGCAGTGTGTACCCTGAATAAACTAAAAACAAACAACCCGGATTCCTATTTAGACTATATTTACAACCTAAAGATAGCTACTAGCTTGGCTTCCATAACAAGCACATCCAGCATTTCATTAGTTTCACAAACTCACATTCCAAAAGAAAAAGGAAAAGCTTAGTATACAAATATAACACTTTTGGAAAAATTGAGTGATCCATCCATTTGTCCATCTATGCATGCATCTATCCATACATCCAAACCTATACCTATGCTGTAGCTTCACAGCACATTAAATAGATATTTAATAGCTAAAATTAGTTTTATAAATATATATGCAAATATGTAAGTGCTGCAAAGTCTATCTGATACTAAGGTAACAGCATCACATGAATTTGTTTGTAATTAGCACAAGTTATTCACTAGGATGGTTTTTTTTTGAGGCAGGACTTCATTCTCTTGTTTTTTGTTTGCTTAAAATATTTTGGGCTAAACCTTATCTCCAGGAATCATTTTTGCCATTACTCCTTAATTTCCAAATACATCTACCAGATTAAATGAAAAGATTTTAAAACTAGCTATCCTTCATTAAAAACAAACAAACCCAGAAGCTTTTAAGGTGCTCTGTCATTTCATTGGAGGTTTTCTAAGGCCAAATCTCCAAAATTTGGGTAAGCCACATTCACCCATTTAATTAAGAAAACAAAGTAAGCAGGTGATTGTTTGGCTATTTTCCGAAATACATAGTGTCACCCATTCTGTGCACCCTTAAGAACAGTGGCTAAAACAAGGGGGAGCTCTTGGTTCCCAATCTGATAGCTGGGAAACCAGCATGGAACTGATCCAGACCCCATGAATGTGGGTGTCAGTGAGGAGGCCTCAGAAATCTATGGGGCCTTTTGTAGTAGATCAGTACTTATCCCTAGCATAGGAATGGACTTTGGGAGCCCATTCCACATAGAGGATACTCCCTCATTCTAGACACACGGGGGAGGGCCTAGGCCCTATCCCAAAGGATATAGACTCTGAAGATCCCCCCATGGAAGGCTTCACCCTCTCTGGGGAGCAGAAATGGTATGGATAGGTAGGGTGTTAGTGGGGTTCAGGGGACGAGGGAATGGAGAGGGAACTGGGATTGACATGTAAAACAATCTTGTTTCTAATTTAAATAAAAAAATCGAGAAAAAAAAAAGAGAAAAAAATTGCCCTTCCCCTATAATGAGATTGATGACTACCTCATATGGTAGTCACTAGAGCCTTCATCCAGTAGCTGATGGGAGCAGAAGCAGACATCCACAGCTAAGCACTGAGCCTAACTCCTGGAATCCAGTTGCAGAAGGGAGGAATGATGAGCAAAGGGGTAAAGACCAGGCTGGGGAAACCCACAGAAACATCTGACCTGAACAAGGGGGGAACTCATGGTACCTAGACTGATAGCTAGGAAACCAGTATAGAGACATTTTGATCAGAATTGTGGTTCATTCTAATCCTCACTATATTTTTGTTATTTTTTAATATTATACTTTATACTCTGTATTATTAATCTGTAAAAGTTTAGGACTCTTTCATTATTATGTTGGTCTTTTCCTGAACTTTGATAATTATATTGTTTTATAGCTAATTGTTTTTTTCATGCTAACCTCTCACACTGTCTCTTGTAAATGTTTGTGTGGCATTGTTACCTTAGTGATTTTAAATTACTTTATTGTATCCTGTAGTGTTACATGTATTCTTTCATTTGTTTTTCTCTGATTTCATGCATTGATTTAAAAAATAACTAACATCAAATTTATAATTATAGCAATGTAAATTTGAATTCCACGTTCTCCTTTATATTTGATAACTTTGTTATGTTAAGGTTATGTACAATTTTAACAATTTGTGATCCTGGGAATCTTTACATAAATTCTTACCAACTTAAAAAAAAAAAAAGAACAGTGGCTAAGCTGACTACAGTGTGGGTCTGTGTATCCACACTGATCCAGAAATAATATACAGAGTCCTATAGAATATCATCAGATACTAGCAGTCTGAAGTACTACACTCACTCCCTATAGAGGATAAAATCTTATGTAATGAAAGTATATAATGGGGAATATAATTTTTAAAAAGGGGTACTGTGAATATTTAAAGTGCAAGCTGAAAAAAAAAGATCTTATTAAATATCTCACTTGGTGGGAGAATAGAAAGATAGTATGTGTAAAATTTGCCCAAAGTCATTAGTCACAATGAATATTCATCAGAAGCCAATTATCAATCCCATTTAATGACACTCCAAAAGATTTTGCCCTGAAGCAGCTGAATAGTCTAAGGCTCCAGACAAAACTAGACAAATTATACAGCCAACAGCCAGTCTAGCCAGGACACAGGCTGTAAAGTAAACCACTGGTGGGTGGTGGCGACACTTTAGAAAATTCTGTCCT